TATGGTTGAGTTCTAGATTGGTTCATAACTTGATAACCTGAATAATTGCTTGGTTTTGATGTCCTAATCCCTGAGATATCTCTTGACCTAACTCTTTCCTTCTATTGTTTTCAACCGAATTTTACTCTTATTTGCTTTGGTTAATCGTGACAATTAAACCTCTTTTTATCGCTTAGCTGAACTTGTATCCCATAGGATTAGAGAGTATTGCAGGTCCCTTAACGAACCTCACTATTCTGCATTCGAATTAGTGAACCCTAGGTTTTAATCTTATAAAACCGGAAAAAAGGATTTACATCAATCAATAACTCCATCTGAAAATCTGCCAAGTCCATAATTCGGAATAGGTTGGGAAGAAAATTCATTGGGCCATAAAGTTATGCCTCAATCCCCAAGCCTTAACTCCAATAACGATCTGTGAAATTTGTTCTTTTTTTCTTTCTACTTTTTAAAACAACTAGAATTTTAACCCGCGCAGGCTATTGCAAAACAATTATACTGCTAAATTTTTTTACATTACTAGAGTTTTTCTAAAATGACAATAAAAATACAAAACACTTTATTATTTTAGAAGCTAAATGTCGAAAAATTTCTAAAAAAAAATTTAAAAAATATATTATATTATAAGTTAAATGACAACGATACAATATAAACTACGAAGTATTTTTATGCATCTAAAATGATAAATAATAGTTTCTATATTTCCGAAATTGTATGTTTTATGTTATGTACATATAGTACGTTTTTTTATTCCAAAAATAATCTTTTATTATTAATCTAGAAAATGCTATAAAAATTTAGAATAGAAAGTATAAAATATAGATTTGTGATTCTTTCCAAAGTATTTATTATTAAAAAAACAAAAGGAGTAAATTGTAAATTGAATGATGGATCATGTGATGCTATTGTAAAATCGTCTTCAGTTGAAGCACCAAACTAATGTAGACGGTATTACATGGTGAGTATTGACTTATGACACCAACGCTGAGTAACTTGTTGGGACGTAACTTGTGTTGTGTCCTTGGAAATATTCCAATTTATAAACCATTTTTTAGGTCTCATTTCACCCACTTTTGAGATAGCTAGGCATCAAATTCCGGTGTCTTGAAAACAATGTAAGTGGAATAATTATTTGATCAATATGTCTATCAGACCAATAATCCGTTCAAGTTGAAGAAAGATTTGATTGTGCCAAGTGAATAAAAATAATTTTTACAAAGCATTATTTAATTGAACTTCAAAATTTAATCATATACTAAATATCATTTTTCACTTATTGATGACACAACCTCAATACATATAAATTATAAACATGATAAAAACGTTTTTCTCTTATTCAAACTAATTGGAACTTTTACCATGTATATAACAATTAAAAATTTCAATGGATAAAATAATTTTAGTGAAAGATCGATTCTATATTTTTTTCTCAAGTATAGATTAAACTACAAGAATAAAAAACATCAAAGAAACGAACAACACTTGTGTTTGATCCTCTATAATCAAAGTGAAAATTCTATTTTTTTGTATTTTATAATAATCAACTACGTTTTCAAACTTGAATTATACATATCACATCTATAAAATCTTAAACGCACATTCATTTTGAATATTTCCTTCTCCACTGCCAAGATTATTTATAAAAAGTTCAATCATTCTATCAAGTTCACAAAAAAAGTATAAGAAATTTGATTACTCAGAACAAATCTCGTCTTCCGTCTTGGATATTTCGGTGAGCCAAAAACGGTTTTACACTTCAGATGGCTCGAATCCATTTAAGTTTCTTAGACCATCTCCAATGTATTTCCTTATTTTCTATTGTAAAATAGAGTAAAATATAGCAATCTTCTAATTTTTCTCCAATGTATTTATCTATTATAGAGGAATGCTATTTTTTCTTCTATTTTAGAGAAAGTATGAATAAGACAAAAAATCTCTATTTCTTCCTCTATATTTGGAGATATAAATAGTAATCTCTATTTTAGAGATAAAAATAGAGGTAGGTTGGAGGAAAAATATAGAAATGCTATATTTTTTCTATTATAGAAGAAAAAATAGAGGTGGGTTGGAGATGCTGTTATACTTTTATCGTTGGCTTTTCGTCTCCCATAAACCAAGTTGACATATCGTTCTCCTCTCAGTCTACTTGAATATGTAAATATTACTTTTTACAACATCTTCACAAGTTGACTTATGGTCCATAACCCAAATATGATGTTAAATTGTAAGTAATAAAATCTAATAGAAATTAAATTGAAATGAACCTTTTTACAATGGTTGGTCAACAACTAACCAAATATTTGGGTTGAACTCAAACAGCAAACCCATCTTATAAAAAATCAGCACAAAATAATTGCCCAGAAAAGAAAAAAAGAATATTGTTAAGATTTATGCTGCATAATTTGGGAGAGATCGAATCTTCATCATTGTTCCATAGAATGGTTTTTTTTATGGAGTCAACAACATGAAATTGAGAAGATATATGGAAGCCGAGAGAATTTTGTTTAAAGCCTAAAAATTCTAGAATACATGCATCTTTTAAACGATACAACGTTTGGCCAAAAGAATACATGCATCTTCTAAACAATATAACTTTTAGCCAAACGATCCTAACTCTCTGTTTTTTTTCCTTAAAAAAATTAAGGACACGTGTCATTACCACGGAAAACGAAACTGAACTTT